CCTCCTCTTCCTCACCCTCGAGAGCGGGCATGTCCTCGTCGTCGGATTCCTCTTCCTCCTCTTCCTCGCCCGTGGGAAGACCGGCGCCGCCGCCGAGCTTGGAGAAGTCAATTCCGCCGAAGTCACCGCCGCCACCTGTGAATCAAGTCAGTATGGCTCCAGCACACACAAGCTCTCCGCACAACAGATACGCATCTCCTCTGTTCAGCTGTACATACCCATACCGCCCATGCCTGGCATTCCTCCTGCGAAAATTACAATGTTTAGCCAGGTGCAACGGGTTAGGCGGGCAAGCACAGCGCAAGGATGGCAACTGTCAATGCGAACCAGCAGAGATAGGGGGGGACTACTCACCCATTCCTCCGAAGTTGGAGAAATCATCCTCGGCAGCCTCGTTCTGCTCGTCCTCATCAACCCACTTGTCGAAGTCGGTCTTGAGGAAGTGGAGCTTCTTGGACTCCTTGAGGAGGCGGGGCCAGTAGGCCTCGTCGAGTTCCTTCTTGCGCAGCTTCATCTCTACATCGCGGGCGGTATGGTTGATCTTGCTCTCGGCAACGTCGATCTCGGCGAAGAACTCGAGCTCGAGGTGGTAAGTCCTCTTGAGGGTGTCCGAATGGCCAGTGAAGGTCAGGCCGGTGGGCTTGAGGTCCAGCTTGAGGTTAGAGGCTGGGACATCGGGGACGCTGATGGTGAGGTAGATGAAGTTCTTCTCCGGGTCGGCCTTGGACGAGCGCTGTGCCCAGAGGACTGTAGTTGCAGCTGGTTAGCCATGCTGTGGCACCGGCCGGGGACGAACCAAAGCTAGGGGGGTTTTGCGCGCGATGAGGCAGGCAGTGCATCCTGAGCTTCCCCCAGCGCTGACAATCGCAATTCAGGCAGGTCGAATTTGAAATGGAAATCACATACCCTCGGGTGTTACGGTGGTGGCCATTGTGATGTGAGGCTCTACTGGTAGGTGACGGTGAATACGAGAAAGTCGGTGCGAAGGAGGGGTAGCTAGCTCCGCGCGGTGCTTCGAATCGCAGCTGCCTTGTTGGTGTGCGAGTCAAGGCGGGCTGGCAGGAGAATCGGCTTTGGAAAGCGACTGGTTGCTTGATCCCGTCGGTGGAAAGGATGGTGCTTGGTTGATGAATTTGCAGCGACGTTCAAAATCAGAGTATTTGGATTGTGTGTCGTGGGGGAAAGATAGGAAGGGGTTGCGCGGGGTGGAATGGATTGTGAGGCTGCCAGTGATTTGAGCAGTCAATGCCTCGCAGCCGCCAGGGGTCTCGGTAGGTGGATGGAAAGCTTCAGAAGCCTGAAGATTCGTCTTGCCTCACGGGCCACCGCAGGGCTGAGCAAAACCCTGTTCTCCAATTGAAACAGAGTGCTCCAGGAGGAGTGGGCCAGGCTCCAGAAAACATTCGATGGCAGCATGAAGTTTGGTGAGGCTTATAGAAAGTAACGGCAGCGGCCAACCTTCTCCAACAATGCCTTTCACGTCTTTGTGCCCGCTTCCAAGCTCCCAGGTCCGATTCTCCACTGCAGCCCCCAAGCGGCGTGTGCGCGCCATGGCGGAACGGCGTTGTGGACAGGCGGAGTTAGGAAGTAACGTCTGACGCTCGGTAGGTCTGGCTGGCTCGGCAGGACCGATGGGTGGTTCGCGCTGCTAGTCGAAGCACGAAACAGGCCCGGCAAAGAGAAACAGCCGTTTCGACAGCCAGCTGTCACACGGGAGACCGCCATCAGAGCTGCTATACTGCCCCAGCAGGTAGCATCCAAGTGAGGCCTTCATTCATGCGCTCTTCAGTGACCTTGCTGCATGGGCAGAGGCATAGGAAGGCCGTCCCACATAAGTAACGTCGAGTTCTTTGCTAGGGGAAAATGACCTCGGCTTTGGTCGATGTGGTCAATCCCGAGGTGGCAGACTCTTTGCTTTCACCACGTACAATGTTCAGCCCTATCTCCAGGATCGAATCCTATACGCCTCTTTTGTATGCTCGGATCGGCAGTGTCCCGAGGCCGAGCCCGCCAGCATTCATCCAGCGAACGGGCCGAAGGAACAACAGCTCCTATCGATATGCACTAGAGCAAGGATTACGCACTCCCGGCAGTGGAGTAAACAAAGAAGCGCGGCAGAGGGTAGAGGGGTCTGATCTTGAGCTGTCGCCGTATCATCTTGTTCCCATCAAAGGATAACTCCACAGAAATTCATCTGGATGCAAGTTGTTGAAAGCCAAGGGGGGGGGGCTAGCCAAGGTCTGGCCTCTGACAGGCAGCAGCACTGCGGCAAACTGCGGGGCCGCTTGGAGAGGCGCGGGGTGCCCAGCCCGCGGTCACTTGGGTTGAGGCTCCCGTCCTTCCCCTCCTGACTAAGAACCTCCAAAAACGACCCGCAACCTGAATCCAACCCTTTTCGGCCATCACCAACGACGTCAGCGTCCGCGGCGCCATCCGGGCACCGAGTCCCTTCACAGCGACCGTTCAACAGCAAACTCCCTTCCTCCTCAACCGTAACCATGGATACCATCCGAAACATATTCGCTAAGCCGGATCCCCAGGCCCAGGTAACTAACTTCCCCCTCGCCACCGCGTGTCGCGCGCCCTCCCCTTTCACCCCCCCGTTATCTGACTAACTAACCCGTCTCTCCCCTCAACCAGGTCCGCAAATGCAACATGGTCATCCGTTCCAACATCCGCAAGCTCGACCGCGACATCGCCTCAGCCAAGCAAGCCGAGATGAAAACAAAGAACCTCATCCTCGCGGCCAATAGCCGCGGCCAGCGCAACCCCTCGCAGCAGAAACAAGCCCAAAAAGAAGTGCGCACGTTCGCGCGCGAGCTCGTACGCACCCGGAAAAACACGGAGCGCCTCATCACTTCCAAAGCGCAGCTCAACAGCGTGCAGATGCAAGTCAACGAGGCCTTTGCGCTGCGCAAGATCGAAGGGAGCATCAAGGCGAGCGTGACGGTGATGAAGGAGGTGAACTCGCTGGTGAGGCTCCCGCAGCTAGCGGGGACGATGCAGGAGCTGAGTCGGGAGCTGATGAAGGCGGGCATCATCGAGGAGATGGTCGGGGACATGTTGCCGGAGGATACGGACCTGTTGGAGGATGAGGAGGAGGCCGAGACCGAGGTGGATAAGGTGCTGGGTGAGATACTGAAGGATAAGATAGAGAAGACGGGAGCGCTGCCAAGCGTGCCGTTGCCGCAGAAGGAGCAGCCGCAGGCGCAGGCAGAGGAGGAGGATGAGGAGGACACGGAGGCGATGATGGATCAGATGAGGAATAGGCTGGAGGCGCTGAGGAGTTGAATAGGAGGCTGTCGGTTGAAGGGGGGCGTCATGCTGCATCGGTAGGATATGAAGCGATTGCTTTGGTCGGATCGGCAGGCCGGAATCATGGCGGCGTTGGGCGTTTTCATTCTTATGCATCCGAGGAGGTGAGTTCTTCTCGGTCGAACAGAATGTGTCTCTGGCTCACGCAACGGTATACATGGCGGTAATGGAACTTTGGTTGTCCATGCTTCGTCTTAGACATTTTCTCTGAGCAATTATACATATACAACAGTCCGGCCTCCTTACAGAACATGTGTTTAGGTCGTCAAGCCCCAGCATCTCGGTCGAAGCCAGAAACCAGAGTAGTCCTCGATGCTTGCATACCACACCACACATGCAGACGACAAGTACATGCTAGATATGGGCGAGAAGAGACCGAGATGGAACCCAAGATGGCAGGATGAAGTGCATTATACCCGTCTCTCCGATATTACCCAAGCGCTCGACGATGTTTCGCTTCTGCGCATACGTTTTTTGCGGACCTGCCTTGGAGAGGTCTCGTCGGACGCCGACTAGCCGGACGCCACAAAGACTGACTGCATTGGTGCCAATGAAGGCGGTCTCTTTCGCTGCACTTCATGACGGCATTCATAAGGGTGGCACTCGGGGGCTTATGGGGAATGTTTCTGGGCAAAAAGAGAGGCTCTCGCTCATCTGGGATGAACAAGGTGTATACGCATGCGCCAGCCGCGAATCGAACGCGGGGCCCATCGATGCAACGATGGATTTTACCACTAAACCACTGGCGCGGATGAGTTGATGAAGAATATGATTCGTGAAAGAAGGATATGTGGCCTGGCGATGGGGCTTGGTGGAGATGAGAGGGTTTGCTCCAGGTTTGCTCAGGGGGTGGAGCTAACGAGAGAGAAAAGACAGGGGTTGTCTGGCAACGAGCAAAAATGAAGTTGGATGTTGCAGAAAAGCTGTGAGGGCCTAGATTGTATGTGGTTGGGAACGGAAGTGGTGTTATGGTGAAAGCAGGGGAAGCATCTTTGGGTAAGGGGGGTGTCATCTGGCAGTGTGCATGCGTTCCCAGTACCCAGTCAACCCAGATTTCCACCTCTCGGAGCTAGCCGCAGTGTCAAGAGCTGGCTGTCCATGTATCTCCTTTCTGTTTGTTATCAAGGGAACATATCCCGAGCTTGGTCTAGAGGACACGCTCATCCCTTCAGGGGTTAACACTTCCCTCGAAGAAGCCCACCCTACAACAAATATTCACAAAAACAAAGTCCCTTCCTCAGAGATCAAATAGGCTGATGCGCGGCGACCTTGAGCGTAATGGTCGTCAGGGCAAAAAAAGAACACAAAAAGAGTGGAGACGAATCTCCTTCACGGTACTCCCTCGGTAAGAGTCGAACTTACAGCCTCTAGATGCCTGCTTCGACGTTTCAGAACCGAAGAGTAATCTACGATATTAGAATCAGCTGTTTCTTTCCAAAGATAAGCAGACTGTGCAGCCCTCTGGGTAACCGGCGGGTCAAGCTCCGTACCTAGTTGCCGGAGCGGAGGTGCAACATAGGATGGTGATGTGCTTTCTGCTGTACTGGTTCTTCTCTTCAACTGAGCAAACGAAGTTAATGCTGTTGTTGAATAGCCAAAATAATACCCGTGTTGGCTTTGACATACAAGTTGAGCTGTAGAAAGGGGCAAAAAAAGGATTTGGAGATCTGATCTCCTATTCATGCCTCCCTCGGTGAGGGTCGAACTTACAGCCTCCAGATTCCGCTTTTTCTCCTTGAGTAATGATTTACTTGGGGAGAAAGTAACAGTGTGACGCGCTAGCCAATTGCGCCACGAGGGATGAGGTTGTTTGGCATCGGATGCCGGTTGTTGGAACGGTGGGCCGGATTTGGCGTACATCAGGTTTGTGTGCCGATGTTGTGGGCCATCCGGGACCCTCTGTGGGTCGTGGGGGTCGTGGAAAGGGTTAGGGGGTCCAGAAACAACTATTGTTCATCGAAGTCAACATAAAAGAGGTATGTAAACTCGGGACGTGCGAACACGCTCAACTGACACTGGGCTTGACTACTGATGGGGTTTCTATTGTTCTTGGGCTTCAGGAATGTCGAGGTGTGTCAGGCACGTTAGTTTGCTCAACCAGTGGTTGTGACCCTGATGTCAACAAGACAGTTGCCCCTGAGTGACTCCAAGGCTGCGTTCGCCCCCTTGTTTACACACCGGACATCAACACAACGGTGACTGGCCTCGACCCGGAAGTCGTCTCTCATCCCAACTCTTCCGTAGAAAAACATAGCAACATTCTTAGAGACTGCAGCTTACCAACATGCCGTATCACGTCTATTGGTAGCCAAGGAGTAACCATCGCTCTTCCTGACCAACATCCTACAACCTCCTTCCTCTGCTAAGACCGAGAACCTACGGCGGATTATTCACCCCCAGTAACAAGGCCATAACAAGGCAACCGTCGATTCAGGCAGAGCTGCTGACCAACTCGCAGGCCGACATCTGACGACCCGTGCCAGCATATTTGAGTGTTGAGCCCAACAAGGTCGCCAACTCACCGCACCCGCACTGACCCCTATATCCACGGCATGCCACTGGCAGAAAGGGGGCCAACCGTCCAAGATGACATCGATCTATTGCCGACAACCCATAACTCGCATGGCGTACATAATAGGATCAGGCCAAACCACCCAGCATGCACTCCGGCCGGACGATACCAGAGGTGTGCGGTCTGGTCTCAATGACAGCGTCCCTGATGGCAAACTGCACGTAGCGGCCGTCTATGAAGAGTGCCCCTACGATAGAACCAACAACTCACCTGCCCCCTCACCTACCTACACCGCACACTGGGAACCAGCAACACCCAGACAGTCATACCAGAAACGCGCCAAAACCTTCACTTCCACTTATACATACATACATACCCGCCCAACAAGAACCCAACCCCGCGTCAGGCGCCTAGTCCTCACCCCCATCAACACACGCAGCACGCAAGTAAGCCGTACCTGCTTAGGCTCCCTCTCTCTCCACCTAACTAACACCCAACACCTCGCGCCAAAGCCCAACCCCTATCATTCGCGCCGCCTCCTGCGTTCCCTACTTGCCAGCCCACGCAGCAAGTGCTCGTGGACGACTGATTGACTTCTCACTGCATAAGGTATCCAAACCCTCCAGTCGCGTTGCCGCGGGAGCCACTGTACCTTGCTGTCCATCCACGTTTCCCACCTATCAGTGCGTGCGGTCTTGGCGGAGATGGTGGTCAGATTATAGTCTGGTTTGGCCATCGCTCAGGCGTTTCGTTTGCAGCGGGGGTGAGTGATGGGCTCATGCGGGTGATCGAACTCCCAAGACTGGACGGGCGGCAGTCTTCCCCGCCCGGCTTGGAGTCCATAGAGGACAAGAGCTTATGCGAAGAATGAACCGCCGAGTCGCGACAGAGAACCATCATGTGAGGAGTTGGGCTGCGATGCCAGCTGCGATCTGTGCGGGGAAGACATCCATGGGATACAGACCGACAGACCACTTGATCTAGTCGCGAACCGCTGGATCTGACATATCGCCAACAAGAACCAGAACAAGACGAGCTCCTAACCCGATGCACCTAAAACCCGAGACAACCCCCCAATCCAAGAATGCGATTGTGAGGGACCGCCGAAAATCGCATCTGCATGCTGCAGGAAAGGGAGTCCCGGCACCGGCAGGGCCGCCAAGCATCCAGACGCCGTGGTTGTCTTAGTGCGCCGCCCAACGCCAACCATTGGTCAGCGCCCACACACATCACAGCTTCATCACTCGTGATATAGGAATCTCTCAAGCACGAGCGATCCAGCGCGGAGGAAAATGCAGACGACCTCCACTGTTCCACACGCGTCCCGCGCCGAGTCCCACGCATACGCACGCAGTAAGAGTAAGAGTATTTTTGCTGCGCGTAACAAGCGGGAAACTCGAAAAATCCCTGGCCTCCCGAGAGAAAACGTGATTGCAGCACAATGTGGCCAATGTCGGATTGACCCCCCCTTTTGGACTCTCGCAACTGGTGGGTCCAGCTGTGTGTAGCCGCCGCGACCTGTCGTTTTCCACTCGACCTTCCCGCTCGCCCCAATATATCCACGACCATTTCTCGGAATGATGAGAACCCATCTTGACCTCTCGAGGCTTCTTCATGGCGATGCACGCAACAGGAGAAATGTTCCGTGCAACCCACATTTTTCTTGTCCCGTCCTAGATCCCGTATTGCACGAGCATCTGTATGTGACAGCATCGGGGCCGGGCCTCGACCAGCTGATGATTGGAGCTCGGAGAAGCCGCCAGGAGCTCGGATCGTGGGCCAAAGCCGCATGCTCCCCTGGTAGTGGCCAACAAGCCCTGTGGAGATTGATAAAGTGCCGCACAGAGTTGCATTCCCGTGGCCAAGTACTCTCTACTTCGAGGCCTTGAAGGGAGGCACTGCATGAATGCTGGTGGTTTTTCGCCGGGGAACAGGGTCCCAAGGATCTCTCGCGCATGAACGGGGCCGGTATTCTTGGTGATCTTGATGCAAATCGATGCCCAGTGAGAAACCCTGTCCTGGGGGTGGGTTCAACGCCCTCCTCGGTGGGTGGCGTGACAAATGTGCTGCCGACAGAGGGGAAAGAGAGGGTTTGGGATTCTGCGCGACGACCCTCTAGATTGCGGCATATGTGACAGCAATCAAGATGGGTGCGAATGAAGCCTCCAAGGACGACGATGTTGTGTTTGGGGGTGACAGGATGGTGATACCGATCCCTGTCGCGGTGTGATTGCTTCACTGAAAGCAACAGCGCAACAAACCGTCTTGCTATGCACGATGTTTAGTGTTTAGTGTTGCGTCTAGTCCCAAGAAGCCGGGAGGCAACAGCATCCAAGCATTTCAGATGGGACGACATAACGAGAGCGGTTTGATAAGATAGCGGGACCGGCGCGGAACGTCTGGCCCGGACCGGTGCTACCGGTTTCTCTTGGAAAGTGGGGCTGTATTCCCGGTGACTGGCCGGGAACGGATCCGAAACTAGCCGGACCGCGGCCCCGCACCTGGTAATCTGGCTGGTGCTCTCGCAACATATCGGCCAAGGTCCCTTGGCGAATTGCAGTCCGTCCAAACATCCCGTGCTGTTGGGAATGGCACATTCAACGGCTACCAATCATTGCGGAAGGCCGCGGCATCGCAAGACGATTGGCAGGCTCTTTGGTGACACATTCAGGCTGTGTGCCATGACTCCTTCGCAATCCGTGGTCGCCATCCAGTTGCTCTCCAAAAGCCGCAGGCGAGGTGTCGCCGATTCAGAGATCGTGGTGACGGTGATTTGGCGGCGGGATCGAGGGCGTCAGGAATTTTTGCCCTGAGGGGGGTCCGCGAAATACGCGCACGCGTAATCCTCTTTGCCTCCAGAGTGCCAAACCGGCCGACTACGACTTCGCCTGTCGCCGAACTCCTGCTGTTGGTCGCAGTTCGATCCCGCGTACTCGCACGCGCACCTCCAAGGTCCGAGTTGATGGTGCATCAATCCATGATTTCTTCTCCGTTTCCCTGCTTCGCGTTTCGAGTCAGCCCTCGTCTGTCATCGCGGTAGTCACGGGCTCGGCCCTCGCAAGCGACCGCGAACCTGAACATCGCAACGTGATTTGGTGTTCTGGCATGTGATGGTTTGTGCCACCCTCCACTGACCCACCACACAGAAGAGCTTCAGAAGCCTGTCTGAGCCAAATATATCGCGGGGTAATATAGACGCAATATCGATTGCGTCTTCAGCTCCGGGGCGGGCTAGAGTCGATGTCAAGATGGAGCATACAGCGGACATGTTCAGCACTTCGTCAACGCCGCGATAAACAGGGTGTCTTTCGCGATAGTCGGTAACGATGGCTCTTTCTTGTCCCAGAATAGCGCAGCGAGAGTGGAAGTTCCAAAACCGCGACGTGGGAGGCTCCTTCCGAGTTTGGGAGGCAGATTGGAAGCTCTGGTCATGGAGGGGCTTTCACCCCAGACAGCTTGGCTGGCCACACCCCACGCGCCTCACCGCAGCAGCGGCGCCTCCAGCTCCCACCCCACGCGTGGTTTCGACGGTGGCGGGAGTTTTGAGCTTTTGTCCCTCACCGACCTTGTCCCCCATTCTGCGGGCGTTTGGGGGTCCTCAGAGTGGGATGCACTTTTTATTGAGAAAAATGTCGATCACTTCAGGTGCGAAAAAGGGGCATGAGCGAAAAAGAACTTGTCAACTTTGTAACCGACGAGAACGGGTGAGCAAGCACATCGACTTCCAAGCCACGGTGATTAGTAGGTAAACACGCATCAGCGATGGTGCCACCAACTCTCGATCAGAAAAAAAGAGGCGTGAGGAGAAAACGACTCGTCGCAGACAAACGCGAGTCGAGGGAGAGAAACACGAACGAGGCACGAAAGAGGCGCACACCTCTCCCTCACCGCGTCCGGTTCCCGGACAGCCACTCGAGGGAGAGCAAGGAACGGGTTTACTTCCGGAACGCCCACCGGTCCCAGCTGCTGGGGACACCGTGCGTCTCTCAGTTTTCACATTTTCTGTCACAGCTGCCAATCGGCGCCATCGGCTGGGAATTTTTCTGGTTGGGACGGAAAAGACAACCCGGTTTGGGAAACATCGTGGGACGCTTTGACGGTCCGCCGCTTTCGGGGCCTTCGACGTGAGGGGAGGAGAAGCCGTGCCGCAACGCCTGTGCCGTGGAAGACTTTTGGTACGTGGATTTGACACTAGCTCTTGTCCAACGCCCAACAGCCAACGGGAGACGGGAAGGAACCAGAAGGGACGGAGAGGCGGTCAGCACTTTGGTCTCGTTTTTTGTTTTCTG